TGCATGGAGGCATGTAATTATTAGATTTATTTGCATTGCCAAGGTGGCATAGCCACTTAAGCTCACATAAGGACTTGTTTGATCATTCAACTGGTAAGACCAGTCAATATGGATGATGTGACAGTCAAAGGAATATATTTTACTAGTTGGATATGTGGTCAAATTCTTGAAGCCATAGGTTTGAAATTTTCATTAAATAAATGAGATTAGAGAGGGTTTAGACCTCTCCAAATGGGTTGACTAAGTAAAATAAAGGAGGATTTGACTTAAAAAATATTTTGGACATATACGGAGTATCCAATTAAATGTTTTTGAGGGGTTGATTTGATTTAAAATGGCTTGAATGATTGAATTTGACAAATATATGGTTAAAATTTATTTGGTCAACCACGGTTGACATAGTCAATCTGGTCAACCCATGGGTTGGATTTGGTTCCAACAGGTCTAGAATAATATTTTAGACTTAATGGAAATGATTATGCATTTGTGAGGCCATTTAGTCAAGGGCTATTGGGTCAATTATGGTTGACTTGGTCAATTAGGTTGAACCATGGTAAGGATTTGGGCTCAACATGTTTGATTTGATATTTAGGGACGATGGAGATGATCTCATAGTCTAGATTGGTCATTTTAATGAAAATGAGTAGTTGGACTCTTAAAAGGAATTTAGGTCAACCTTGATTGACATTGTCAACCCTGGTTGACATGGTCAACCAGGATGACTCAAGGTCTAAGTTTGGGTATTAACTTGGTTTAACATTTGGAGTTGAATGGAGATGGTTTCATCCAATGGGGAGACCATTTGGATTGAAATGACCATTCAAGCTCTTGAGGGGCCTTTTGGTCATTTTGACACCTGGTCAATTGGGGGTCAAGGTGAGTCCACTAAATTATATATTAATGCTTAACATATCATGATTTAGGGTTTGGATGTGATTAGAAGCTTTGGATAAAACTCTATGGTCAAATTCTACTAGGTGGGAGGTCTAGTGGCATATGCAATAAAATTTTGAAGGTTTTATAGCCTGTAAAAATATATACAATTTATGGGGTAAAAGTCAAATAATGAGCTCCAATTTAGAGGGTTTACCCTAGGGACATGCTCTATTAATATGCAATTGACAGATCATTAATCAAAGATCACTTGTCTAGGTTTCTAGGTGGTCAAAATTTTACTTAACATAGGCTTCAAGACTCAGGCTTTTGGCTTGGATTTCAAGATTTAAGCTGGGTTTTGGAGTTGAAAGAATGGATTTTAATTATCCAAATCATTAATAATCATTTAGATTATTAGAGATGACTGAATAAGATTAGAGCCAGGTTTGAGACTATATTGATTGAGTTTGGCATAATTAAGGGTCAAGACTGGTCAAGAGTTTGAAATAGTTTAAAGTTTAACTTGATTTGAAGTTTTGGTTGACTTGAGATCTAGATTGGTTTGGGGTCTTGATTGATTTGAGGTATGGATTGATCTAGGGTCTGGATTGATTTGGTGTCAAGATGGATCCCTAATGACCTCATATAAAAAGGAGGTCAACACTCTATTTTGATTTTTATATAGTCATGACTAGTTTATTATTCAGTTTTCTTGCTTCTACATGTAGCCATATATTATAGTGTAAATACATTTTGATGAAATAAAAGAAATCTTGTGGATGAGTTATTTTAAGTATTTGGATGTGTTTGTAGCTTTGTATAATGTAGTTTTATTTAAAATAAAATTTGAAGAGAATAAGAAACATTCGAAAACTAGATCTTGAGATTTTCCTGTAAAAGCTAAACACGATTGGACTTTGCTAATTGGGTTGGAGTGTGACAAGCATAACATACATGACTTGTGGAAGATGATTTTCATGGCAAAAGTAAGAAGACTTAAATCTTGGAGATAATTGATGACTAGCTCATATATTCTCCTCTTATAAGTGAAGGCTGTTTAATAAGAAGGTGGGCAATCATCATGTTTGAGAAAATAAACATTAGTGTTTGTGTCAATAGTGGGCATCAAACTTTTTAGTGTTAATGATGGGCATTGACATTATTGTCGATAATGGACATTGACATTGTTGTCAATTAAAGAAGTTTTTAACTTTATTGGTGATGATGAGAGAATTTGTGTTGATGACATACATTGGCCTTGGTGGTCAGTGTATGCATCGATGATGGTCATGGTGATGTCAAATGTCAATATTGGTGTCATTGCTAGGCATTGGACTTATTAGAATGATTAGAATTTGTACTAACACTAACAATAAGCATCAACCTTATTAATGACGGTGATCATAGGTATTGGTGTCGATAAAGGACTTCAATCATATTGGATACAATGAGAGTGCATAGGGTGTTAGTTTTGTCTATGTTTCAACATTATTTATGATGATGAACATTGTTGATGATGTTGATGAGAGACTGATGTAGAATAAAGAGTCAATTCTTATGCTTGTGTATGATATTTACATATAATATTATTTTCCTTCTATAATGGAGAATTATTTTTATAACTGTTGTATGTTGAATTGTATACAAGTTAACAAATTTATTTGAGCCCAACTTGTCAATCAAAATTATTATTTTTTAATCTCTTCCAAGAATTAGAAAATCTAAATAGTTTAACAAATTCATCGTATTCATATGTGAATTTAATTAATTAAAAGGATAGCATGAATTTACAATCTTAAATGATTAAAGATTTGTTAATTTATCTTTTTTATTCCCTTCTTAACTCTTTTGTTACCAAGACGTGTTATATAATTTAAGTTGAAAATTGTTCGCATAATTAACAAATTGAAAAAATAAGAAAAATCGAAAAACCATGAGATGAACATAGAAGAATTCAAATTACTTTATTGATGAAAATATTATGACTACATCGTAAATCTAGAAAAATAAATTAGTTCATGATAGAATTGGTAGAACAAGATATTTCAATCATGAAATTAAAAAATACGAAGATAATAAATAAAAAAAATGAAGAATAGAACCAGTTGTGATCTTGTGCCCAAAATCATTTTGAATTCTCCATAATATTTGCTCAATTATTTCTCCATAAATTTCCCTTCATGGCCTTCTCACTCCCTTTTAAAATCTACAATTTAAACTCTTTAACATAAGCCCCTAATACCAATCTAACACCTTCATGATTGTAAAACTTCTTTAAAATAAAACATGTTTGATTGTTGCAACGCTCTGATCAACCATCAATATGTTATCTGCTTTGTATTTTCTATATTTTCTGTGCGAGGTGTTGTGCATGACACTTAAGACTAGCATTAAGGAACAGTCTTCCCTGTTAAAGTTTTAAAAATGAGCTTTTAATAGTCTAAAAAGGGAGAAATTATTACGTGAGGTTACTGGATGCTGTCCAGAGGCCAGTTAGGACACACCACATCATTAATACGTTGTTTGTCTTTATTATGTACCACTGTGTATCAAGCGATATGGTATTTTGATATTAATGATACTAGAAGGTGATGATTTATTCCTTGATATTTCAAAATTTTGTTATTTTTATTTGTCAAGATGACTTTTGCATTGTAATTGTTGGTATTTTGATATTAATGAAACTAGAATGTGATGATTTATTCCTTATGATGAAGTCGAAAGGGAGTTGTTTTGAGTACCTTTATGAATGGCACTAGAGTTATGGTCTGAATCTCGAACTCCATGGGAACGTTCATTGAATTCCTTGATGCACGAGCTAAAATCACTTGAGCCAATCCTATACAAAAGAAAGTTTTTCTTTTGAATGATTTATGAAATGAATTCCTTTGTAGGCATGAGATGCTATGCATGTTGTATATTGTATTCCTATAAATTAAATGGCATTTGAATTGACAACCTAAGCAAAATAGGAAACTTGTGTGGTAGGATGTGATGATGATGATCATGAATTTTAGGGGTGTCAATTTCGAGCTAATTGGGTCAATCCGAACTTGACCCGTTTTTACAAACAGGTCGGATTTTCGGATCCGAACCCGACCCGATCCCCAGACACGGCAATCCGGACATCGGCGGGTCGGTAGTCGACAACAGTCAATGGTGCAGCACGGTAGACAGAACGATGTGGACACGACAAGAGATGAGCGAGTCGAGACGCGTGATTGGCCTCACAACTTGTGGTTGGCCACGGGCAGTTGCGATTAGCTGTGGTCACGCGGGGAGTGGTCATCCTGGGTTTCCAGGTCAACCCGAACCCGACTCGATTTTTGAAATGGATAAAAAATCCAAACCTGAACCCGAAATTTGGTGTCAAGTGCGAATCGCGTTTTCGGGTCCTGTCAATTATCAACACCGCTAAGTGATTTTTTAGGATTACAATTTTTTTATTTTTTTTAGTTATACCACAAGTAACACTTTTATGAGCATCTTCAATTGGCTATTATAGAGTCTATTTTCTCGCCTTAAGGGCAATAATCTTAGATTGAAAAATCCATCTTTTGGGGAACATCCATTATGTTTTGATGACATATTAAGGTATATCCCTTTTTCGTATAGTAGAAAATTCCTAATCCTCTCTCTCTCTCTCTCTCTCTCTCTCTCTCTCTCTCTCTCTCTTCCATAAGATATTTTTATTTACTAGTTTTTCTAAGATTGAAAGCTTCTATCCACATCTTCATTATAATAAGTCAAAAGAGCTTACATTTATAAAAAAAAAAAAAAAATCTTCTTCCTTTATATAACGAGCTTTTAAAATTTTATTTAAACTAGCTCATTTATATATTGTTGATCCACCTCAAATCCTAAAGAACATTGAGGAAGCAACCATTATATCTTTTGATCAAACAATTAAAATAATCAAAAACTATTTTTAAGCACATTCCAATAAAAAAAACCAAAATCATATTCAAAAACACCTTCGACATTTAAATTTCTTCCCAAAAAAAAAAAAAATCAATGTCACATCACAAGAATTAGTAAACTCCATACTTTCTTGCAGCTGAAAATTAGTCGTTGGTATTTGGTGATCCCTGAATAATTCCAAGGAAGAAAAAAAAAAAGAAGAAGAAGATTACGTAGAGCACACTATCAGTAGGTATAAGATCTAAAATCACATACCTATACTTTTTTCTCCTCTACCAAAATTGGCATTGGAGCAAAGGAAAACAAAGAGGGACTAAGGTTCTCCATTTCCCTACAACTGCCACTTTATCACTATCGATATCTTATAATTTTCTCTGTACAATAAACATCTCAGCTTGCCTGATTCTGGTAGGGTTTCTGTTTGCTAACTGAGCAGGTGCAGCTTGCCCTAATATCAGATATTGACTGCAAAGAATAGTAATCAACATTATAAATAAGCAGATTATTCAAATTCTTAACGTATTTGAAGAAGCAAAGATATAGTCTTCTGAAAATAGTTATTCATGAAAATATTATGAGAGAATTCAAAGTTATCTGCTATTTTTATAAAGAAGAATATTAGGGTGGTCGATGAATATATATATCAAATTCATATGAATACTTTTAATTAAATAATCACTGCTTTCTTACTTTTAATATATAGAAGGCTGCTTTTAAAAATAGTAAAAAAGTAATTCCAAACGAAATCAAACTCTGCGTAATATTTTTTATTTTTTTAGTACAAAAATTAAGCTCTACAGTTTGACAATTTAATCGTAGGACTCATTTTATTGAGCTCTTTGTTTTGGTTAAAAAATTAAGCAGATTATTTTTTTTAAATACCGACCCTAAAATAAACTTTCTTTAGAGCAGAAGATTAAAGTTTCTTAACAAAACAAACTTTTAATGGAAATTTATTGCTCTCTTTCATGAAAAAATGTACTCTCCTGCTGAGTTTTTTGATTTTTTTTCAATTTTCATGACAAGCGTGCCTTATAGTTAATGATCCAAACCATTCAATCCATTTTGGATGATTGGGATTCTTTTGATTTTGATGATTTTGAAAAAGATAATGCTAATTATTCATAATAAAGTAGATGATTAAACTGGTAAATTCACAGAACAAATTTAATAACAGATTTGTATTCTTTATTTTTTCTTTACCGTACAATGAGAATTCGTAACTCAGAGCTTTTTATTGAAAAAGAAAAAAAAAAAACAAGCTTAAGAGGAAACAGAATAGTTTTAATCCTAAAATTCCGTACCTTGACCTGTCTCTGGAGATCTTTGATGTAGTCAACGGCTAAATCGAGCATATCCGCAGTATTAGTTTGCTGCAATCCAAAATTGCAAATGACTTTAGAGATACAGAAGGAAAATAATTTTCCCCAAAAAAAAAATTGCAAATGACAGAAATAAGCATCAAATTTGATGCTTCGGGAAAAAAAAAGTACTGAACAGTATTAATTTGGTAATTACCTTATCCATGTTGGGCACTAGCTCCTGCAACTTCCTCATCCTCTCGCTAATTCTAGTCCTCCTAACCTGAAAAGATTCAGACTTTTCGTAAAACATCTACTCGTTAATTGGAAAATAATCAAGATCGAATTGAGGATAAAAATATAGTTTTTTTTACCCTCTCTGCGATGCTCCGGGGATGAGTAGCGCAGCCTCTCTTAGCACGGATCTTGCAGGGAACAGAGTCCTGAAAATGGAGGAACTTCTCAATCGCCGCCATCTCCGAAGTCGTCTTCGGCAAGCTGAACTGGTGAGTGAGCCCAGCTCCATTCTATAAAACCAAACAATATTTGTTCAGACGTGTAGCAGATGGCCGGAGAAGAAAGAGTTGAGAATGAGATGGAGTACCTGAAGCTCTGTTTGATTTAGTCCCACAACATCTCTGGCTCTCTTGCTCTCTCTGGGAGAGAAGTTATCTGAGAGCAAGGAGTCCTCCCAGGAGTTAACCGGGTAGCCGGGAATGAAACAGTGGCCATTACTGCTCTCCTCCGGGCTTCCGCCGCCGCCGCCGGATATTCCCTCGCTCCCCATCTCAGAGATCTGAGACAGTGAGTTTTGCCTTGAGGAGAAGTTAATTTGGCCCTTAAAGTCTGCCCCCATGCCATTCCTGTTACTGCTGGCAGACATCCCTCTAAGCAAACCATACCCTAAAAAAGCACAATAAATTAACAAACTCAGATAGAAAAAAAAGGAGGAGGAATTTTGCTTCAATTTATAAGGAAAATACGTTTTTTTTGGGAATAAAGGCAAAGAAGTTAGAATTTATCAGCTGGGAAAAAATTGCCATATTAAACAAAACTAGAGAGCATCGCAGAATGGATAATAATTTAAGAAGCTTTCCATCCCCAGTAGAAGTTTGATCTCTATCTTGAAAAAGGAAAGAGGAGATTACCACTGTCAACGTTTAAGTTAGACAAGAATCCAGCAGGGGAGCTACTCTGCCGGATTAGATTCGCGCTGCTGGCGCCACCGGGTTTCATCTGGTCAGTCTCCATAGCCATGGAGCTTACCACTCGGTAAGCGTTATCGGCCATGGGCTGCTGCTGCTGCGAGTGATAAAGCATCTGAGAAGACATAGAGGAGAAACCTTCGCTCTGTTCCACCGCCGCCGGCGTAAATAAAGTATTCCTTTGCCCCTGCCCGCTGCCCGCCGTGGACTTGCTGCGTATCTCTTCGCGTTGATTTTGTGCGAGGAAGCGAGCGAAAAGGGATTCCATCTCAGGGCTGGAAGGTCTCACGGGTTGGAAATCCTCGCAGACCTCGCCGAGGAGAGTGGTCGGTGCCGAACTGAAGCGGAGAAGACCGGAATTCATCTCCTGCTCTCTCTGCAGATCGGAGTCCTCTTTTCGGTGCCCGAACGCCGCTGCCGCCGTCGTGAACTGGAGGTTTAGGCCTTTCGTCGTCGCCGCCGATGGAGATCCGTACATCACACTCTCTTCCTTCTCCCTCTCTACTCGCAGTATCAGATCCGGATCAATACCCAAAACCTAAAGCTGGAATTCAGCACAAATCCCGTGTTTTCGCCGCTTGACCATCCACTCGCTCCTCGCCGGAAATCAAAACTGATTTTTTTACACCTCCACAAATCCGACGGACAAGAAAAAGAAACGAAGCCGAGAAGTCAGTAAAGGAGTTCCTTTTAAGCTTCGGAGCCTTCGTCTTCCTCTCCTCTTCTCCCTCAATTCGTCTTCAAAGAAGACGATGAGATTGTTCAATCCTTCCGCTCCTATCGTCTCCTCACTCCAAAAACTTAGAAATTATTTTATTTTCCCAAAATTACATATTTTCCCGTCCTCTCGAAGCACCGAAATCCAGGAAGTGATTTTGGGTCTTTTATATGCGGTAAGGGCTTCCCAGAGAGCAAAGAGGATGCGGTCTGGGCATCAGCTATTTATATGCCCGAGCAGACATAAATACCCCCAACTATCTTCATATATTTACAGAACGCCATCAGTCTGTAAATGTCAATCTCGTTTAGAAGAAGTTAAGCTGTTCCGGCTTCGTGGAAGATGTGGCTAAAGCTGATTCATTCGATGGATAATACGACCCATGGTAACAGGATAATCTGATGAGAATGGGAACACCGTAAACGATTTCCCATTGAGGTAGTTATTCTAAAAAATATTCATTTATCCTAGAGTTTTTGTTCACTAGGTTGATATTTGTATAAGTTAAAAGATTTCATTTAGGACGGCTTTCTTATTCTTTAAAATAGCTTTTTAATATAAAATTTTAATTTTTAACTACAAAATTGTTTTAAGAGGCAATAAAAAAATCGACCTAAATGAAGTCTAAGTATCATTTTATGTTATTCTCAAAGATGAGAACAAGGTCCATTTCAATTCTCTCAATAGCTTGAGACAATGATGTCCTCAATCCAATTTATCTTTGCCATTAATATGGATGCCTTTTCTTATCTCTAGGACTATGAGATCAATGCTTCTAGATATTCTCCCATTATTAAAAGAACATGCTCTATTTGTTATATTCTCTTTTCAAATGACTTTTCGGTGAGGGTTAATACTAATTTTGATATAGTTCAAACTCTCAAGCACTATCTTTATTTATATTGTGTTCATGGGATCGGAAATTAATCCTAAAAAATCTATAATTTGGATCTCTTGAGCTATGGTGGTCATTTTAGGTTTTGTGATTTTGGCTATTAACATTGGGAATTTCCTCTTAAATATCTCGTTCTTCCTATTATGATTGGGCATTTTTCTCTAAAGATTGTACACATATTATATATAAAATCACTTATTGGCTTGAGGTATGAAAAATGAAAACCCTTCTATTGGAGGAATATTTCACTTTATCAGGCCAGCTTTCAATGAGTTTTTGCCCTATTAGCCCCATTCCTTTTCTCTCCTCAAATGCATTATGAAGAAAACTTACTTCTCTCACCCTTCACTTTTTCACCAATAGAGGTAACTAGAAAAATGCATTTATTTCATGGAAATAAATGATGTTGCCTAAAGATAAAAGGGACATATGCCTTAGCTAAATTTCTACCTCAACATCAAATGCAAAGCCAACATATTTTGGAAAATGATAAACTCCATTTATCTCTTCTATTGCTAGTGTTAGAAAGTGACGCCGGAGCTGAGCCATTAATTGTATTAACTTCAGGATAGTTTTATTTTGATTGGAAGCATATATGGCTACATATGATTAGTGCTCTCTTGTATTGAATGTAGCCTATTATAGGTTACTTTTTTCTATAAATAGAAGACATTCATTGTAATAGAGATAAATTTGAGATGAATAATATTTGAGTAGTTTTTACACTGCTTTTGGGTTTCTGTATCCTGAAGGATTTTAGGTGGTGATCCCTCCCCCAAGAAGGAGTTCTTGGTCCCGTCACCGGATCCTCGACGTGGATTCGTCGAGACCCCTACCTAGCCGGTGTCAAAAAGCTTATGATTCCATTTGGACATATTATGTTGATAAGGTCTCTTCCTTATATTTGAGGTGGAAGAGAAATTGTTCTTTGGATTTTTGAAGAAAATCTTCAATCCAACTGTTGGATTAAAGGTTATACTCTTCTAGATATTTTTGGATCCATTAGAAGGTAAATTATGCAGTGAATTACAAGTATTAATTAGAGAATAATGGAAGGACTGCTCATATCATAAGTTAGAGGTAAAATATGAAATTAAAATTGTCCATATTATATTCAAAATCATGGGATGAATTAGATTTCATTGGATTGGATTCGATTTTAATCTCCCAAAGTTTTGGGATTTTGATTCCAGCCATTTGATATTTAATTAGATAGTTGAGATTAATGCCTCCATATTAATAGGATCTTATGGCGATTAAATACCCAATGAAACTGCACCGTGTGGAAAAGTGAGTGTACATTTAGCTGCTAACTATATAATACTCCAACTAAATGCAAATTAAAGCACATGACATTAAAAAAATAATATCTCTATATATACTGATCCAAATTGGAAAAATAAATCCTCTATAAACTTAGTATGAAATTCCTTGTCTAATGAAACCAAATTCAAGGTCAAAGAATTGGAAGACTAGGTAAATTAGGTTGAATTATGAATTATTTGTGTTGATTAAATAGCATGCTTAGTTATTTTAAATTGGGTTTGAATTTAACTTGATTAAATTCCAGGAGTATATAATCACATGAAAATTCCTCAATGTGATTTGAATTTTACCTCCGGTTTTAATTGACTTTTTAAATCCATAGGTTAATTTTCACCAATAAATTTAAAAATAATAAAAATGAAATCAATAATAATTATTACATTGATCTCAAACAAATAGATGGGCTTATGCTTTAGTGAGAGAAAGTCTGAGAATTCAAATTTCTATTTTCGGCGGTTCTTGGTTTTCTTCGCGGCGGCGTAGTCCGGCCATCTGCCGGCTCTCCAGCGGGACGGGGAGGGAACGATGGAGGCTAGACATATTCTTCCTTCGGATGCTTGGAAGAATTACAGGAAAAATCTGGCTTTACCAGTCCTTGACTCTTCGGATGTTTTTAATGGGGGTTCTAATTTCAAAGGTTTGAAGGAAAAGCCGTTGATTATCAACGAGGGAGGTCAGTTGAACAAAAAAGTGACTCCAGTAATTTTCCCTCGTAAAGGAAAGGATGTGTTGGAAGAGCATCCTCTGAATGTGATGGTATTCTCGCCTGTACAGGTTGTGAAAAACAATGATGGTGGTAATCGAAGCTTAGGAGCATCTTCTTCTGCTGGAGGACATATTATTTTTAACAAAGGTGTTAATTCAAAATCTCTGCCGTCTTCTCCGATTAATCGTGATTCTTTCTCAGAGTCTCTGAAAATCCGCAATACAGAAGATGTTAATAGTATTGATGTGAATTTGCCTCCGAGGAAGGATGTTGATATCCCTACAAATGTAACAGGAGCCATTTTAGACAATTCTAATTATGTGGTGAATAATGATGTTAATGTGAAGGTGAATTCGGTTTGGAGCAGGCGTTCGTATGTGAAGGTCGACAATTTGGACCTAGGATCTTTCTTATCGGAAGATGGTAAAGTGGTTTTGCTTCATGCTGACAAGGAGTTAGAAAATGCTAAGAAATTAGAAAAGGCCCTTGTTGTGAAAATTTTTGGGGAGAATACTCCGTTTCATGTGATCAGTATAGATTTAAGAAGACAATGGGATAAGTTCGGTAAATTCCACATTACTGGCATGGGACTTGGCTGGTTTTTGTGCTCTTTTGAAGATCCAAAGGCTTTAGAGAGTATTCTTTTGGGTGGCCCTTGGTGGATCAGGGGAAAAGTTATTCATTTGGACAAGTGGTCGGTGAACATCAATCCAACGTCTCTGAAGGGGATTACATCACCTGTATGGATTCGATTAAACAATTTACTTCTGCAATGTTGGGATGAGGTAAACATTTGTAGAATTACTTCTCTGGTCGGCAATCCATATCTTCTTGATGGGAATATGTTCCAGTGGAGTAGAAGGGAATATGCACGGGTATGTGTTCGAATTCCTCTTGATTTGAAGTTACCAAAAGGTGTTTGGGTGAAAGGTTTGGCTGGAGAGTTTTATCAAAAAGTAGAATATGAAGGGATTTCTAATATATGTTCTAATTGTGGTAAAATTGGGCATGATTTGAAGACATGTCATGAGGTGAAGGAGAAAGTAATTATGGATTCTAGTACAGCTCTTCCTACGGGTGTGGTTGGTAATAAGGTGACTAAAGTAATGGCTGCAAAGTCTATTGCTGAAGAAGGGAAGGCTGCAGAATACTCCTGGACTCTAGTGAAACATGGTTAAATAAGAGTTAATAAGATCTCGATTAACAGAAGATTTTTCAACAAAAAGAGTTCTGTAACTAAGAAGAAAATTTTTCTTCCAAAAACTGGTACCTCCAATTTGAAGGTGATGGGGAAATTGTTAGAGGAGTAGTTTGAAAAAAATGAGAATATCCTTAATCCTGATGCGGTTGTAAATGTAAATTCTCTGGGAGTTCGTTGTTATTTTGGAATTGTAGAGGAGCCAAAAAGTTGGAGGCTGCTCTATATCTCAAGGAGATGGTCAAGGATCATAAGGTGTTCTTTATAGGTTTACTGGAAACAAAAATTAATTCTCAGGACAATTGTCACCTGATGAAATTTCTGGGTAATAGTTGGGATTCTTTTGTAGTTCCATCGGTTGGTTTATCGGGTGGACTTATGGTGTTATGGAGGAATGATTTAGCTTCTTTTTCGATTGTGGAAGCTACGTCTCAGATGATCTTGGGTAAATTGGAGGTGCATGGCAAAGGAAGTTGGATTGTTGCTTCTATTTATGGAAACACAGATGCTTTGGAGAGGAGAAGACTTTGGGTTGATATTGAGAGGCATTGTTCTAATGAGCTTCCTATGATTGTGGGAGGGGATTTTAATTGTGTGGGCTCCCAATCTGAAAAAAGAGGTGGTAAGAAATTCTACTTAACTCAAGGCTCGAAGGATTTCATTAATTTCATGATTGTTAATGATCTTCATGAAGTGAATTCGATAGGATCTAAATTCACTTGGTGTAACAATAAAAATGGTAGTGCCCGGATATTGGAAAAATTGGATAGGTGTTTAATTAATTCATCTTCTTTAAATATTTTACAACTTGCTACGGTTAAACACTTATCCCGTATTGCTTCTAATCATTGCCCCTTATTGTTGGATATCTATAAACCGAGTGATAAGCTTAACAGAGAGATTCGTTATGAAGAGACTTGGGCTTCCTATCATGGAGCTGCGGCCCTAGTGAATAAAATTTGGCGTAGGAATTGTTGGTCTGATCCCCAATCTGCTCTCAACCTGAAGCTCAAAAGAACTCTAAAAGGGCTCTTTTACTAGAGTAAGGCTAAGTTCTTGGATCTAAACTCTCTCAG